TATGCTTTGTAGCTTACAAAACGTTAAATGTAATTTCTTCTTCAATGATTTTCTTAAGCTGCAAAGCATAAGACGTTGAACCTCAATGCGCTAACTAATATATTTCACGTTTTAAACCTTTAAAAGTATTTTATATAAACAATAGAATGAGTCTCGTCAAACGTTACGTCAATGTAACGAAAACGACTAAATTAATTTTAACAGGCTTACAGTTCAGCATATTGTTAGACTTGGAGTAACTGCGGGACAAGTCACTAAATAAGACATTAAATGAATAAACAGTCTGACATTACAAGATTAATAGATGGGCAATATTTATTAGTAGGGAAGCTCGTAAATAATTTTTATTGCGCGTATTTCGTTGGTGGATACAAAGTGTCTTTCGCTGTTATATATGAAATATGCTAATTCGGTTTTACGTCCACCATATTAATTTTGGGAAGTGCTCTAAGTTTATCAATTTTTGCAGCCACAAATAAGCTTAAAGGGTGAAGTCTTTATGGCGTTTGGCATTCCTGCATACAAATATTAATCTATGAGATATACGATTTCTTTTATCATAGAGGAGGCAAGCATGGGATTCCCTTGGTGCATGGTGAAATGTAGAGTAGAGTGATGTATATAAAACTTTAAAAATATGCGCTGACATACTTTGCCTTTGAATATTCTCAAATACACAAACTGAAACCGAAACACGAATAAACTTAACAGGTTTTTCCAGATATCCAGATTTCCAGTTGAAGTCCAACGCATTTAAAAAATGTACATTGATTAGAATAATGTTGAATCCGGTGGGGATCGGACCCATGCGGACCGCGTGCGCTGTTTGGTTGTATATATGCTTTTATTACACATGATTGCCATATAAATTAAAAATCAATTTAGATACAAAAAATAAACCACTAAACCTAAGCGATAATTTCAATCATATATTAGCGCATCTCCTTATGTTATATGGCTGAGGAATACCCCATGCATGTCTCTCCTTCTTTATCATTAAAAAAATGCTCTAATGTGGCAATACAAAAGCCAAGGCTGTAATTGCTCCTCCAATCCTAAACATATTGTATAAGTCGATATTAATATTCATAAATCAAGATGGCGGATCTTAATCGTATTCCCATAAATGGCGGTACATCGGATGAGATTAATAACGTTGAATGTAAAATTAGTTCGGGTAAGGCGCCCCTGGGACCACGCCGTTGTGTTATAAATAATAATATATTGAGGTCATATTCGCTTCAATGTATTATCCAAAAATAACTATAAACAGGTCCCATTCTATAATCTATGTCATTTTAAACAATAGATTATATTCACAGGTAAGGTCACCTTCTGTTATTATTTTACTTTAAATTACCTGTATTAATATAACTCAGGAATAATAATAGAGAACAAATAAACTGTAATTTGATAAAACATATGTAAAGAAACATTACTATGCTTCTTTAATCTTCAATTTGACGTTTGACACTGACAGATGAAATGTCAGTTGTCAATATGCAATTCTAAATTCCTATATTTGATTATAAAATAAAATTAAACTTCAAATGAATATATATTTATTTGAATATAAGCAATTATTAATTACTATAATTGTAACTTAAAATTGCGTCTGTTAATTCTGAAATAAACCTTCACTTACTGATTGTTTATTTTAACTTCATAAGACGATACTCCCTTTATTAGATCAATAAAAATGTTTGTATGTATTTAAACTGAATTACTTACTGACATTTGATAGCTATTGTTTAAATATATACGTACTCCAACATCAAATATTTGCGCTAATCTTATTCAAGTTGTTAGAATTTCAATTTGACATGAGGTTTAATCCGTATTATATCAATTAAGTCATTCCATTGTATATAATATTATGCTAGCAGTGTCAGTGACGTCGTCTGCGAGAATCGTTATTTTGGGCATCCAAATTTGTTTTTGCAAATCCTTTCATCTACAGCGTACGCATCGGAATCCCATGTTAGAGATGAACCCTTTTTTAATTTTCCCGCTGCTTTTTCGCTCCTATTAGTTACAGCGCGATTATTTATAGCCTATAGCCTTCCTCGATAAATGTTCTAAGACAAAAATATTTTTTTTTATTTCGAACCACTAGTTCGTGAGATTAGCGCGTTCAAACAAACAAACAAACTCTTCAGCTTTATATATTAGTATAGATATTATGTAGTACGTATTATCTATTAATAATTATTTATTGGACTCGGCTGGGCTTGGGGTTAGTTGTTTTAGGATTAAACAACATCAATTAGTAGCCAATTTGCGGACACGGGAACGCTGCGGATGCCTATTCAAGTCCGGCCCGTGTCGTAATATTTTTTCAATCTAAAGTCGATTTTTCATTTATATTAAGCCATCTTCTGAATAATATTAAAGTATTTTTTTTTTTTTTTTTTTTAAAAAGAAAACATGTTAAACTCAATCCTCATTAAGTTTGAGGAACAATTTATGTTAATTTGATGTTTGTATGAGAATTGTCTTACTTTTATAGAATTTTTAATTATAAAGATGTTTATAAAATGTTGTTTTCAAATGAAATAACAACTTAATTCAAAACACGCGCCGCTCTTAAAACCTCGCAACAAACAAGCCACTCAACATTATCCACTAACATCCGAGCTATTTAAAAACTGTAAAAAACAATACTTAAAAAACTTATATAACCGCAAAACGTAATCCCAAGTACAGTTATGCACAAAACTGTTGTTGTTAAATGTTCATAAACGCTCGGTCGCTCGCCATTTTACGAGCGACATGGTGTATTTTTCTCTCCGTTTTAAAGTCTAACTACAAACGTATCTCGACAGCTGTGCCGTGTTAAGTGCCGTGGATAAGACGTGGCTAGAAGTGACACGGTTCAGAATATAATTGTAACATTGCTTGATAGCAGAGACAACGAGAAACAGGTGAACACTTAAATGTAACGAGGGGAAATTGTAGTGAAGACTTGGATGTTAAGATTCCATGTTTAGTATTGGCTGAAGTTTTTACAAGTAGTGTACAATTAAACGTTTAAAACGCTATATTGACCAAACTGCAATAAATCTCGAATTAAGATTTAAGTAGCGTTTCAAACCGCTAGGTGTTTTTTTACAATATTCTATATTGTTGATTATACTATGTTGACATATGATTCTATATATATGTATGGATATTGAGATTTATAAAATCTACAGAGATAAAAAGTTATTTTATTGTATAATGACGTCGCTTTGTCAACCATAGATACAATAAAAATAGAACAATTGTCTTGGAGTTGTTTTATCAAATAATACAAAATGTTGACTAAGTTACCCATGCCTTAATAAATTAGACGATGATGGTAAACTACCGTTAATGCCATCTGACCCAACTTGAGGACATAAAACGTTAACACACATAACGCAGTCTTTTTACATAAATTAACCCTAAAGTTATACGAATAACTGTCTGGAACGGCGAGTTTATTACCCCTACCGTATCCAGACACGACCGACATCTACGTAAACCACACGCAACTATTTTTATTACCTCCGGTATACAAATTTAGCCTCCCCCTGGCGTCGCGATACTAATTGACGCTTTAAATCCATCCTCGCCTTCTCACTGCCCGAGTGAATAATTTTATCTCAACGTTATGAGTTATGAGCGCGACTGTACTTTTGCTTTTCGCCTTTTCCTGTCTTTGAAGCTTAATGTGTTTGTATTGGAAACGTGATAAATAATAAATGTCAAATGCTCCCCATTTAGAGACGGAAAAGCGCTTAGATGGTATTACGGGGTTTTTATTATTCTTTTTGATAATAAGGAAAACTCAGATTTCCCGCTAAGCCTATAATACGGGCATTTGCGCCGCAAAACGCTGTAACGGGTTTATACAACGCTTCCTGCATTTAGAAGTACAGTAAAAATGAATATGTCAAAACGATTTTTGATACACAAAAAAGCATGCGGGCACGGGACGACACTCTTCTGTGTCCGTTACAGTGATTCATTGATCTATAGGCAAATAAATTAGTCTCTCTCTGTCTACTTGCTGAAACTTGTTTTGGGCTCGTTTGTCTACTGGTATCAATGAATGGCAGATGATCAACGGGTCCGACATGTTTCCGATTTTACGGAACATGCTGGACTTCGTCTGGAATTCTGGATATTAATAGTTAAATGGCTGGTAGGAGTAGAAACTCAGATCGCGTCACGAACCACCGTCTACTGATGACAAACCGTGAAGTTTAATCGCGGTTCGGTTTCAGTCTTTGGATTTCCAAATATCCAAAGCTAAAATAGGTTGACAGCGCAACTTGGTTAGATGCTATAGGCTGGGGCTAACCTATCATTAAGCGAACCCCATGCCATATCGGTCCCCCTCTATCATTAAAAACAATGCTAAAAAAATATCTCACGTTTCGAATCAAAGACTTGAATGCAATGCTACACAATGAGTTCTATAATTATAGAATCAGTTTAAGAAATATATATTCTTAGAATAATGTTTATTCTAAATCGCAATAAAACACAGTTATATTTCGCAGTCTTTGAGGTGATAATAAGCCAAAAGTTCGCGATATCGATTAGGCAGCGCATCTGTCCCCGACATCCAATAAATATGTAAATTCGGCCCGGATTAACCCCGGCGAAGATTTGCGACTCGTGTTCACTGAGCTGTGAGAGTGTTTTTTCTAATTATTAACAATCTGTGACCATACGCGTCATCTACGAAGTCGACAGCGTATTCTAGATACGTCAATAGTTTTCGCTTACAAAAAAACGTTTTAGTTTAACAGACTGAAGAAAGATCTGATTAAATGAATAAGAGATATTTTTTATATCAAATTTGGAATCTTTATTGACAGACGAACTGTAATTGTCGATAACAGTGACAAGAATAATACAATAAAAACGATAATCAAGCGTGCCAGTTAACATCAGTCAATAAAGATGTCAATGTCAAGTTTCCAAACGTAAGGCGCCATTTTGAAATCAATTATACTTTAAACTTGCCATTAATTAATGAACATACCTGCCAGTTTCAATCCAATCCTTTTTCCCGGAGGTTTAATTAGTTCTATGTGTGTCCGTCGCAAACCTCGCTCTGTACATAGTCCGGAGTCTGTCGATAAGGATGTCTGCGATTTGAATACTGTAACAAAGACAATCAAAGAAACGTCAATACTGATGACAAGTTAGCGATAGTACAATATTAAAATACAGTATTTTAAAGTATGCATCTTAAATACTGTCTATAGTTTACGCGAGTAGTACACATTTAAATAAAACACTTTAACGGTTTAAAACGCGATATATTAGTTAGACTTTAGTCTCCCCGTGACCACGGCTGCTGCAAAGCATCGGAAACGTCGGGCCGAAGTTAAAAATCATTTTCAAATAAGTTTAACTAATATATCGCGTTTTAAACCGTTAAAGTTTTTTATTTAAAAGTATGCATCTTGTTTATTTCTTTACATTTACTAATTATTTTAAATTTTAACCTTTCGTTGCCCTTTTATAATACGTGCTTCATATTACGATCGGGGCGTAGGAGTTTTTTTCATAATAAAGGATAACAGCTAAGTAGTGGTTCAATTGAGGGAAGGTAAGAAACGGGGAAAATAGTTTTTCCGTTTTTTTCGCGTTTGATACTGTTACTTCGCTCTTATAAGTCACACCGCGATTTTTTTTAATTCGAAGGAGTAGTTCCCGAGGTAAGCGTCAAAACAAACTCGTCAGCTTTATATATTAGTATAGATGATATTTCTAGCGAGTTGAAGTTATGCAACTTGACGGGAATTCCTTTTATCTCTACCGATTCCTCAGCGCATACTAAATTGCTAGTTGGTCAACGTAACTAGATTAGATAAGATTGCATTATCGCCTCAGATTATTGATTTCCGATGGACTAGAGTGGCTAAGATTATTGGGTTAATTCTAAATATTAGCATATTACTATCGCGTACTGCAAGTCACTACCATTCCCCCCCCCCCCACACCTAACGCCGTTCTATATCATTTTGGGTCACACATACATACGTATACGCTCTCTTATTGCGTTCTTCAGCACAAGACCTAAAATATAAGCTGATAACAAAGATATCTTATTCTACCAACCTCCTATTTAACTTATATCCACTATTGGCTTGACGACTTGTAGATAAACATAAATATAAACATACAGACATTACGAATGCGCAATATCTTTTAATAAAACAAAAAAAAATTAGAAATAAACCACAATATTTTCATTTTTTTTTAATTTCTTAAAAAACATTTTTAAAAAGCTTCAAACTTTGTATACCCTAATTTAAAAATATTTAGTGTTTTATGTAATTTAATTATAATTTTACTATATTATAGTATAACATTGCATTGTGAAAAACGCATTAAAATAAAACAAAGGCGAATACATAAAACTCTTGTGAACATAGCCAAGCATTATCCAGCGCTGCATCAAAATTAGAGAGAGCGAATTTTCCGCCATTTTAAAATTTCCCGGTCTGAAACGGTCAGAACTCGGGACAGAATGGGATTGTCTATTCAAAGAGAATTCTAAATTTCTGTGTCATTTTATATCATTAAAAGCAAAGTTGTAGAATTGAAGTCATGAAAGCTAATGCCTAATGGTAGCAATGTATGGGTAATAATTAATGGGTCTTAGGTTCGATCCCCACCATGTCCAACAAATTTCTTATCGTCCAAATAAAACACTTTAACGGTTTAAAACGCGATATACATCAGTTAAACTTCCAATTAAAACTCTTTAACGGTTTAAAACGCAATATATTAGTTAAACTTATTGGAAAATGATTTCTAGCTTCGGCCCGAAGTTTCAAACCGTTAAAGTGTCTTATTTAAATGTGTACTACTTGCGTAAACTATAGACAATATTTAGTTAAACTTGTTTGAAAATTATTTTCTCCTGTGACCTCGACTGCTGCAAGGGATACAAAACGTCGGGCCGCACTTAAAATAATTTCAAACAAGTGTAACTAATATATATCGCGTTTCAAACCGATAAGTGTTTTATTACAGACAGTATTTAGGTTTCAAATCAACTTTTTTTATTTTCTGAAACTGAATTTTGGGGTTGTAGGCTTTAGGAATCTCTAATATTCTGTCCAGTTTTCGAACCACTGTCCACAGATGAAAAAGCCATGAAGTTTAATCGCTTTTCGATTCCGGGCTGTGGATTTCTAAAACGGGGTAACTCATTAACATAAAATTCATATATCAAAAATAGAAAGCCAAAAAACACCACAGTAAAATACTTTTCATTCGTGAATGTGGCCCAAGCATTCTTACAGAGAATGTAAAAATATAAAACTGAATAAAACCTGACCTAGAAAACCGACGAATTCACGTGTACAAAACTGTATTCGGGAGTTAAATACATGGCTTCCGAATGAAGTTCAAATGATGTCTCATGACTTAAACTGTTTGTACGTCGTTAGCGAAACTCGACATTCCATTTAAAAGAAGGATTACTTTTTGTCTGTCCCTAATTTGAGAGCGGAAAACTTTTTTGTAGTATTGTTTTGTTTGTTCGGAGAAATGATTGATTACGGAGTTAAAACGTTAGGGTCGGCGTACATATTTACGCACAGATTGACATTACGTGTGTTTAATACTGTCTATAGTTTACGCGAGTAGTACACATTTAAATAAAACACTTTAACGGTTTAAAACGCGATATATTAGTTAAACTTATTAGAAAATGATTTTTAACTTAAGTTAAACTAATATATCGCGTTTTAAACCGTTAAGTGTTTTATTTAAATAACGTCTGTTTCCTTATAAAGATTTATAATTTTATCATTAGGAAGACTTTTTTTTTATGATAGATCATTTAATACCCCAATTATGTCGACCTATTATGGCTTTGGATATTCGGAAACCCACAGACTGAAACCGAAACTCGATTATTCATCATGTTATTTATTGAACTTATTGATCCGTGGACGGTGGTTCGTAACCCGGATGGCATTTTCGATGTTCCCATCACCCATTGAACATATTTCGAAAAAATATATAAATTGACTAGAAAAATATTGGACCCAGTGGGGATCGGGCCTACGACCCGTCGATTGTTAGCCATACATTGCTAAATTAGATAATTATTATACATTTATATAAAAATGATCTTTAAAGTTACGAGAATTAATTTAAGATGCCTGGATGCTAATTAAAAAAAAAGTTTAATACTAAAACCTAAAAAACAATAAATATTTTAATTGTGACTTAAGGTAAATAAATATTTGTTAGGCTTTATATTTCGCTATAATAGTTGTATAATAATTCAACTGAGCGACGAACCTTATTTGTTTTCCGCAGAAAGAAAACAGAAGTTGAGCTTCCTTTTATAATTCGCGTGCGAGTCATAACAATACAACAGAACTTATTTCAAACAAAACAAAATGATATATATATATATATATCATTAATAATTTTGTTTTCGCTATGACATTATATTTGTGAAAGGGCAAACTCGCTTAGCCGTGGGCTACGAAACTTGGAAAGTATATCATAAAACAATTTATCCTCGAAATTCAATTACTGTATTTGAATAATATTCTGCTTTGAAAAGGGTCTGTTAAAAATATCATAAACAAGCTGTGTCAGCGACTTCGTCCGCGATAATCGATATTTTGGGCATCCAAATTAGTTTTTGCAAACCCCTTTCATCTGTATGAACTTAAACTGTTACCCACAACGTCGATCGCGTCACTTCCCGTCGTTCTTGCTAGTTAATCTTAAAAGATAGACATACAGCGTCGCGGACTTTTTTTTAGATTATTTAAAGAGAAATAATTCTTCCATACATATTTTTTGGATATCTTGAACCGCTTTTGCAGCGTACGCTTCGGAAACCCATAATGAGGAATCATTTTCTCAATTTTTTTCACCAAATATCGTTGTGTCTTCGCTTGTATCATATTTTATTGCAGGATTTTTTATTGCCTATCGATAAATGCTCTAACCAGCACAGAAAGTTTTTGACATTAGTGCGTTCAAACAAACAACCAAACTCTCCAGCTTGATATATTAGTTAGTATAGATCATTTTAGTACCAAATATTCTTTCTTTCGCGGACATTGTACACTTTGCTACTTGGGTCATGTGCAGTCGTCGTGATTTAGAAATGGTTTTTGACGTTTCGCCCTTCCTAAGATCACTTGATATATAATCTCTCAATTCTCAGTTCTCATTTACGACAGCCGAACACCTCAAAAACTGCATTCCTTAACATAGAACACATTTTGTTATCTATTTAAACGTCGGGCCGTTGTTAATAAGATATTTTACGAACTGTACTGATCGTGTGAAATTAGAGATTATCATTGTTAATATTTGCTAGCAACCTCATCGTCATTAGTCGCTGCGTGATTTTTTAGCTTAAAGCCTTCCTCGATAAATTGTTTAACTAACAAAGAACAATGTTTCAATTTGAGCCAATAGTTACTGAGATTAGCGCGTTAAAAAAAACGATTCAGCCTATAATATTAGTGTTATTGTCAAACTCATCCAAAACAGCTCAACCGGGTTTAATGAAATTTTGTTTGTAGGGGGTTTAGATTTTATATTTATAGCTTTATAATATTAATTATGCCTACTACTATCGAAATGGTATGAATATATTTTGGCAACAAACCCCGACGTTACAACTGTCAAATGTGGAAATCGAATGAAAGATAGGAAACGCCGGTATACATTACAGAGCTTAACAGGTAATTCGAGTAGAAGCCGTAAGCATTATGCCAATTGCCAAATACCAAGCGAATGTATGATTGTTAGAATTACCTCAAAATCGAATTTGTGACCCATTTAAACCGATAACATGTCTTTCTTATTGCAAGATACAAGAAAAGTTTCAAAACCACAAATCTCGTTTCGATTACACGATTCATACACTTCTATGCCGTTTAAATAAAGCACTTTTAACGGTTTAAAACGAGAAATATATTAGTTAAATTATAAAAAACAAAATGGACTACGGAATAACGTTTCGAATGCTTTGCAGCACGACACCATCATGGTCACGAAGGTTCTAAAACCGTTAAGTGTAAATTAGAAATTGTCCGTCGCATATTTTTTGTAGTCTAAAATCGATTTTTAATTTATCTAATGCCATTGTGTGCAAAAACACGT